AGTTGAGGGACAGCGCCCAGGCCCAGAGTTCAAGCCCCACGACCAACAAAAAAAAAAAAAAAAGAGTCTCATGGGCTTTTCTGCCCAGACTGGCTTCAAACCATAATCCTTAAGTCTCTTGAGAAATAGGATCATAGGCATGTGCCCAGCCATGCCCAGTTTTTTTTGTTGTTCAATTGAGGGTTTTGTATAATTTTTACTATAGCTAGCCTTGAACCATGATCCTTGTGAGTACCTAAAATCACAGGCATTTGTTATACTTAAGTAATACTTCTAAAACTCAATAATGATGAAAGAAAGCAGTAATTGAATTTTAGCTCTGTCATTTTATTATAAGAACATTGAAAATTTTAGGCAGAAAATTTTTATATTCAGTCCCAGAATATCTAGCCATTTTGATTAGTCTTGCTAGTGATTTATGGTCAAACTTACCAGTTGTTGCAGACTTGAGAAAGTTTTCCTCAGTCCTTTAGTGTTCCACAGGTTTTACAGTGTTGACTTGGTCAAGTTACACTTAGAGTTGATATTTCTTATTGCTTTTAGGGTTTTTTTGTGTTTGTTTTCAGTTGGGGTTTGGATTTGGCTCTCCTCCTGCCCCCACCCTCTCTGGGGATGAAACCTAGGACCTCATAAAAGCAAATGTTCTGCCATTGTGCTCCTAGATTGTTGTTTTCCCTTTATTGCATTCTTTGGTGCTGGTGGAACCCAGGGCCTCAGGAGTGCTAAACATGTATTCTACCACTGAGCTATACCTCCAGCCTCTTTTAGTTTCTTTTGTGTGTGTGTGGTGATACTGAGATTTGAACTCAGGGTCTGACACTTGGTATGTAGGTGCTCTGTCACTTGAGCCATGCTTCCAGCCTTAAAATTATATTTTGACTTCTTATTCTAGCTGAGAACAACACTGTTTGGTATGATTGGATGAAGCCTTCTCATGCACAGCTCCATGCTGACTACATGCAGCATCTAACTGAGGCCAAATCCAGGAGTAAGAATAAGGTTCGGGGTGTCCAGCAGCTAATACAGCGCCTCCGGCTCATCAAATCTCCTGCAGAAATTAAGAGAATGCAGATTGCTGGGAAGTTGACTTCACAGGTATGACTCTAGTTGAAAAAGTTTTTCCAAATTAAAAAAGTCATAAAGTAAGGTTCAGTAGGCCCCTTGAGGTATTGTAGTAACGTCACAAGCTAGTGAGCATCTAGCTTCTACTTCCATATGATTAGTAACATATGTACAGATTCAGTACCTTACAAGGCAAAGTAAATCTGTCCTCTTCGTTTTTGTTTTTGTGTTTGGGTCCGGTTGTGGGGCCTGAACTCTGGGCCTGGGCGGTGTCCCTCAGCTCAAGGCTAGCACTCTACCACTTGAGCCACAGCGCCACTTCCAGCTTTTTTCTTTTAGCTTATGTGGTGCTGAGGATTCGAACCCAGGGCCTCATGCATGCAAGGCAAGCACTCTACCGCTGAGCCACCTTCCCAGCGCTCTTCTTGGTTTTTGTATGTGTGTTTTCGTTTTGTTTTTGTTTGTGGGTCATGGGGCCTGAACTCTGGGCCTGGGCACTGTCCCTCAGCTCTTCAGCTTAAGGCTAGCGCTCTACCACTTGAGACACGGCACTACTTCTGGCTTTTTCTGTTTATGTGGTGCTGAGGAATCGAACCCAGGACCTCATGCATGCAAGGCAAAGCACTGTACCACTGAGCCACCTTCTCAGCCCAAATCTATATTCTTTTAAAATGGATCTTTTATTCAGCATTCTTAGTTTGTCCTTGAAACAACATAAATTGAGCCATTTTATTCCCATTCCTTTAGGTAACTGCACTAATAGTGATAGTTAAATAAGAGTTTAATTGCTAAAGACTCAAAGGACCCAAAATAACAGTGCGTAATCGAATTTATTACACATGTTACACATGCTCCTGAAGGACAGTGGAATTATATCCCAGTAAACCCATCATAAGTTGAAAATGTTGTTTATCACAAATGCATTGAAGCTGGGTGCCAGTTCATTCATTATGCCTATAATCCTAGCAACTCAGGAGACTGAGATCTGAGGATTGTGGTTCAAAGCCAGCCCAGGCAAGAAAATCTCTTATTTCCAATTAACTACTTGAAATCTGGAAGTGGCATTGTGGCTCAAAGTGGTAGAATGTTAGCCTTGAGCTGAAGAGCTCAGGGACTGCCCAGGCCCAGAATTCAAGCCCCACAACTGGGCAAGGGCAGAGAGGGGGGTCAAAAGCGGGGCACCAATGGCTCACCCCTGTAATCCTAGAGACTCAGGACATTAAGATCTGAGAATCAGGGGCTGGGAAGGTGGTTCAGTGGTAGAGCTCTTTTGTCTTGCATGCCTGAGGGCCTGGATTTGATTCCTCAGCACCACATAAGCAAAAAGATAAAAGCCGGAAATGGCGCTGTGGCTCAAGTGGTAGAGCACTAGCCTTGAGCTGAAGAGCTGAGGGACAGCATCCAGGCCCAGAGTTCAGGCCCCACGACCAGACCAAAAAAAAAAAAAAGATCTGAGAATCATGGGTCAAAGCCAGCTGGAGCAGGAAAGTCTGTGAGACTCTTATCTCCATTTAAGCACCAGAAAATCAGAAGTGGTGCTATAGCTCAAAGGGATAGAATGGGCTGGGAAGGTAGTTCAGTGGTAGAGCTCTTGCCTTGCATGCCTGAGGCCCTGGGTTCGATTCCCCAGCACCACATAAGCAAAAAGAAAAATGCCAGAAGTGGGGCTGTGGCTCAAGTGGTAGAGCGCTAGCCTTGAGCTGAAGAGCTGAGGGACAGCACCAAGGCCCAGAGTTCAGGCCCCACGACCGGACCCAAAAAAAAGGGGGGGGTAGAACACTAGTCTTGGGCAAAAGAGCTTAGGAACAATGTCCAGGCCCTGGGTATTACAGGTATGAGCCACCAGCACTTGGCTTAATTGCCCATTTCTTTTTTTTTTTTTGTCGGTCATGGGGCTTGAACTCTGGGCCTGGGCACTGTCCCTCAGCTCTTCAGCTCAATGCGAGCACTCTACCACTTGAGCTACAGCGCCACTTCCAGTTTTCTGGTGGTTTATTGGAGATAGGAGTCTCACGGTCTCTCCTGCCCGGGCTGGCTTTGAACCGCGATCCTCAGATCTCAGCCTCCTGACTAGCTAGGATTACAGGCGTGAGCCACCAGCGCCCGGCTTAATTGCCCATTTCTAAAGGTTGGTTTGAGCAGAACCTTAATACAAATCCTCCATCTGGTCTCAAACTCAGTGCTGGGTGGGATTACAAGTATGTGCCACTATACCCAGCCTATCTCCGAGTATGTATGGTAGAACCTACTCCGAATCAGTTTTAGTAAACAGCTTCTCTGTGAACTGGTAAGTACATACCACACTCACCCCAGTACTATTCAAAGCCAGAGATGTTGCTCCTTGATCCAGAAGTCTCAGAAAACAGTAAACTAAGAGCTCATATAGATACTGTATAGAATAATCTAGAAAATGGCTCTTTTTTCTTTTTGGCCAATCCTGGGGCTTGTGCTCAGGGCCTGGGCACTGTCTCTGAGCTTCTTTGGCTCAAGATTAGCAGTCTACCACTTGAGCCACAGTGCCACTTCTGGCTTTTTCAGTTTATGTGGTACTGAGGAATCGAACGCAGGGCTTCATACATGGTAGGCAAGCATTCTACCACTAAGTCACATTCCCAGCGCTTCTTTTCTTAACTAAATAACAACTCCTTACTTCCATAATTTCTTACCTTCTAATATGGACTTGACACATAAATATTAATTACTGTTGTAATTAGTCTTACAGGATTAGCTAATTCATCAGAAATGATAACAACCAGTTGAGGGCATGAGTAGCTCACACCTGTAACCTTACCTACTCGGGAATCTAAGATCTAAGGATTCTAGTTTGAAGCTAGCTATACTGGACAGACAAATTCAAGAAATGCTTATCCTTATCTTCAGTTAGCCATGAAAAAGACAAAAGTAGAGGTGAGCCTCAAGTAGTGATGCTCCAGCCTTGACCCAAAAATATGAGGCCCTGAATTCAAGTTTAAGTTCTGGCACAAAAACAAAACAAATTATAGCAGCTAGATTCTTTTGATTAGAGCTCCATCTATTGACCATAGAGAGGAGCTCCATCTGAAGTGATACTGAGTTTCATATTTTTGTTGGTTTTGTGTTGATACTAGGGCTTGCACTCAGGCTCGGAGCTTACTTTGAAACTGTCACTACAGGTGGTATTTAGTCAACCTGCCCCAACAATTTTTTTTGTCCGATCGCGGTCCTGAACTCTGGGCCTGAGCACTGTTCCTCAGCTCTTTAGCTCAAGGCTAGTGCTCTACCACTTGAGCCATAGCGCCACTTCCGGCTTTTTTTCTTTTTGCTTATGTGGTACTGAGGAATCGAACCCAGGGCCTCATGCATGCAAGGCAAGCACTCTACCACTGAGCCACCTTCCCAGCCCCTGAGCTACCTTCCCAGCCCCTGCCCCAAGAATTTATATTTCCTTTCTAGTTCCATTATTCTAATTCCTAAATTTTTTTGAATCCACTAATTTCAAAATAAATGCCACTTCAAGCAAAATATGGCTTGGTTCATTGGTTTATTTTGCTATCAGAAGCATTTTTTTCTGTCAAAATAATGCTTTAGCTATGTTTTAGTTTAGAATGGGTCAAGTGTGAGAAAGATAAATAAAGAAGAGAAATTTAAGCCGGGCTCTGATGGCTCATGCCTATAATCCTAGCTTCTCAGGAGGCTGAGATCTGAAGATCACAGTTCAAAGCCAGCCCAAGCAGGAAAGTTCATGAGATTCTTATCTCCAATAAATCATAGAAAACTGGAAGTGGCACTGTGGCTCAAGTGGTAGAGCACTCGCCTTGAGCTGAAAAGCGCAAGGACAGCACCCAAGCCTAGAGTTCAAGCCCCACGACCGACAAAAAAAAAAAAAAGGAAAAAATAAGTTACATGTGCTAGGATAACCAAATGCCCACATGCAGAAAAATGAAATTGCATCCCTATCTCATACCATATATGAAAAGTAACTCAAATTGAATTAATGACCTAACTTAAGAGCTAAAAAGCTGAGTGACAGTGGCTCATACTTGGAATCCTAGCTACTTAGGAGGCTGAGATCTGAGTATCTCCATTTGAAGCCAGCTTGGGCAGGAAAATCCATGAAACTTTTATCTCCAATAAACTACTCAGAAAAAAAAAAAAAAAAACAGAAACAGCATTGTGGTTCAAGTGGAAGAGCACTATCCTTGAGCATAAAGAGTCTCTAGGACAGAACCCAGACCTTGAGTTCAAGCCCTAGGACCAGGAAAGAAACAAAGTTTCCAGTGAATTTTGTTGTCATACCAAATTCATAGGCAACAAAAGAACACCTTCATACAAATTTGAAAATTGTACATGAAAGATACTGTCAAGAAAGTTGAAAAAAGAAAAGTACAGAATGGGAGAAAGTTATGTATCATATATATGATAAAGGTCTAATATCAGAATATCAAAAGGCCACATCTAATTCAACCACAAAAAGACAACTAAATTTATTAAATGAGTATTTCTCCAAAGAGACACCCATTGTCCAACATCATGAGTCTTTAGCAAAACAAAAAGCAAAAAAGAATCTTTGGAAGGGTTGGAAGAGGGTACAGAACTGGAGGGAGAAAGGGGCAAAGTGCAGCAGTGGAGCTCGCTGGACACTGATGAAAGCGAACTGTACAATTCGTGGGTGGAGACGCAAGGGAGGGACTGGGAGTGAGAGAATAGAAGACACCACGAAAGGAAACGTACTCATTACCTGACTTGTGTAAATGTAATCCCTCTCAATATCACCACTATAATAACGATAAATTAATTATTTAAAAAACTGCCTACATGAAAGACTATAAATTTCATATACAACAACCAAAAAAACACCTCAAAACCACAATGAGATACCACATTTCACCCACTGAAGAGGCTATTTCAAATAATAGGGCTGTGAATGTGGCCAAGATATGAGGATTGTGGTTCAAAGCCAGCCAGGGCAGGAAAAGTCTGTGAGACTCACTCTTATCTCCAATAAACCACTTAGAAAACCAGAGAGAGAGAGAAATTGAAACCTTTGTACTTTCTATGGGAATGTGAAATGATTCAGTGATTCAGCCATAAGTTAGAAAAGGCCAGGTAGCTGGGCGCTGGTGGCTCATGCCTGTAATCCTAGCCTCCTATAATCTCAGGAGGCTGAGATCTGAGGATCTCGGTTCAAAGCCAGCCCGGGCAGGAGAGACCTTAAGACTCCTATCTCCAGTAAACCACCAGAAAACCGGAAGTGGCGCTGTAGCTCAAGTGGTAGAGTGCTCGCCTTGAGCTGAAGAGCTGAAGGACAGCGCTCAGGCCCAGAGTTCAAGCCCCACGACCAACCAAAAAAAAAAAAAAGAAAAGGCCAGGTAAGGTGGTATAACCTGCAGGATTAGAAGCTCGCAGTGAGCCCTCATCTCAAATCATCATCAATCATCAAATGCATAGAAAGGGGTTGTCATCTACATTGGCATACTATTCAGTTCTAGGAAAGAATGAAACACTAATATGGGTGAGCCTTGAAGTCAGTGGGCTGAGTGAGAGATTTCAGATATAAAATTCTACATCCTGAATTAATCTACATCCTGTATGATTGTATATGTAATGGCCAGATCACACAAATCCATAGAGACCAAGAAGATAAGCACCAGGGGGTAAAGATGCAGGAAAATGGGAATTAAGATATGGAGTTAGAGCTGGGAAAGTGACTCAGTGGTACAGTGCTTGTCTTGCATGCCTGAGGCCCTGGGTTCAATTCCTCAGCACCACACAAGTAGATAAAAGCCCAAAGTGGCACTGTGGCTCAAGTGGTAGAGCACTAACCTAGAACTGAAGAGCTGAAGGACAGAGTTCAGGCCCCATGATTGGCCAAAAATAAATAAATAAATGATATGGAGTTAGATACCTTCTAGTATTCTGGGTTCTAAAGCCAGATACACTAAAGTGGCAGCTAAACAGCATTCAGAAGTTTAGTTGTGCATGCCTCTAATCCAGTATTCAGGAAGCTGAGGTAGAAGGATTGTTGAGTACCAAGACCTTGTCTCCAAACCCCAAAAATTAAAAGAAAATTATAATTATCATCCATGCATTGGTAGCTCACCCTCATAATCCTAGCTACTCAAGAGGCTGAGGTCTGAGGATTATTAAAGCCAGCCCGGACAGGACAGTCTGTGAGACTTTTTTTTTTTTTTTTCCCTGATCCTGGAGCTTGAACCTGGGCCTGGACACTGTCCCTGCTCCTTTTGCTCAGGCTAGTGCTCTGCCATTTGAGCCACAGCCACAGCTTTTTCTCTGATTAATTGGAGATAAGAGTCTCACAGAGGCTGGGAAGGTAGCTCAGTGGTAGAGCGCTTGCCTTGCATGCATGGGGCCCTGGGTTCCATTCTTCAGCATCACATAAGCAAAAAGAAAAAAGCCAGAAGTGGTGCGGACAGCGCTGCCAGGCCCAGAGTTCAGGCCCCACGACAGGACCCAAAAAAAGAAAAAAGAGTCTCACAGACTTTCCTGCCTGGGCTGGCTTTGAATCAAGATCCTCCTATCTCAGCCTCCTGAATAGCTAGGATTATAAGCATGAATCACCAGAACCCAGTGAGAGACTCTGTTGTTGTTGTTGTTGTTGTTGTTGTGATTGGGGGCTTGAAATTGGCCTAGGCACTGTCCTTCAGCTCTTCAGCCCAAGGCTAGCATTCTACTACTTGAGCCATAGTGCCACCTTCGGCATTTTCTGCTTATGTGGTTCTGAGGAGTTGAACCCAGGGCCTCATGCATGCAAGGCAAGCACTCTACCACTGAGCCACCTTCCCAGCTGCCGAGAGACTCTTATCTCCACTACACTACCAAAGCCAGAAGTAGAGCTGTGGCTCAAAGTTAGTGGAGCACAAAGGAGTTCAGGGACAGTACCCAGACAGTGAGTAAAAGTTAGAGGATGAGCACCAAAAGGAAAAAAAATCAGTTACTAATATGAGGATATAGATCCTCCTACCTATTCCACAATCTCAACTACAAGGGTAGTATAGGTAGGAGAATGAATTTTAAAAAAGATAATCCAATAAAAAGGGCCAGCAGTGTGCCTCTCGTTTCTTGCGCAGCAAAAGTGAGGATTTGATTCAAGTTCCAGGACCAACAAAAAAACAGAAAAACACATTGGTGTGATTATCATGCAGAATTAGTAAACATATTATTAGAGACCAGTGGTTCTCAGTTAGAGAAATATTTTCTTCCCTAGGGGACATTTTGGCAATATGTGGTGGTCACAATTGCAGGATGCCACTGACATTCTGAATTAAACAGGACTATAGCCCACAAGAAAGAATTATCTGTCCCTAAATGTCAGAAACACTGAGTTTGGGAGCCCCTGCTACATAGACCAGACCACTTAGTCTGTAATTTCATATACTCAAGCTATAAAAGCATCTCATTAAATAAATGGAAAGTTTGTGTCTTAGTCAGAAAGTGACTTATTTCCAAACAGTTCTCCTGGAGGATAGGAAATATATGATAAAGGTGGCAGCAGGTTGTATCTGGACCCGTTCTTTGTGGATGGGGTCATCTAGGGTCTTACATGGCAGGAGGGATGGGAAGAAGGAATGCTGTTCCCTGTTGGCTGGAAAGGGCTGACCTCACTTTCTCCAGCCCTTGGGGGGGTGGGGGGAAGGTTACACACATCATGCTCACTAGCCCTGGGGCTGAAATCAGCTTTTTTTGCTCAAGACTAGTGCTCTGCCACTTTGAGCCATAACACCACTTCTGGCTTTTTGGTGGATAATTAGAGATCAGAGTCTCAGGGACTTTCCTTCAAACCACAGTCCTCAGGTCTCAGCCTTCTGAATGACTAGAAGTACAGGCGTGAGCCACCAACACCTAGCTATCTCCAGTACTTTTTAAAAGTTGCTTATCCCATCCATGAGGGCATAGACCTCACTCCTGAATTTGTTCCCAACAGGCCTAGACTACAGTGGAGATAAAGTTTGAACAGGAGGTTTGCATGGAACATGAAACAGTTTCAGCCATAGCATAGCACTTCCCAGGTGCTTTATTCTAGTATGACGTGTATTTTGAGTGGAAAAATGAGATGCGAATTCTATCGTCAGTCAAATATTCTGGAGAACAATTTTCTGTCCCTCCTTCCAGACAAAATAATTTATACTCATTTAGTTACAACTTCAGGTTAACAAAGCTGGGTAGAAGTGTTTGTTATGTGAATTCCAGAATTAGTTGAATGTTGGAGTATGCAACATAGTTAAAGTAAATATTTGGTCCTCCCTTTCTCTTCAGGCTTTCATAGAGACCATGTTTGCCAGCAAAGCCCCTGTGGAGGAAGCCTTTCTTTATGCTAAGGTGAGCCTCAGATCGTGGAGAGGGTCTTGCTGGGGAAGAATGTGATTTCATTGGTTTACAGCATATTTTCAACAATCAGGTTTTCATTCTATTAGAGGATTCAGGTCTCAGAGGTTACCGGCATTTATTAGATGAATCTAAAACATGCAGAATTAGAGTTAGAGGAAGAAAACCATGAAGGGCAGCTGATGAAGAAGGAAAAATTCAATGTGTAAAATATTAATAAAACTGAAACTTTCATTTAATATAAAGGTCGTCCATGGGTACTAGCAGTGGAACTATTACTGGAGCACAGTGAATTTAGCTATTTGAAAAGCTAATTTAGGAAGTAGACATCAACAGATCTTGATTTGAGATCAGGCCCAGACACAACGTTCACAAGATTACATTTCAGCCAATAGTTGTCATCCCAAGATAAGGGGCTGGGCCGGGTGAATCATACCTGTAACTCCAGTGACAAAGGGAAGCACAACGGGACCCCAATGCTGGCTGGCCTGTGCGTGAAGCAAAATCTCACCTCAAAAATAACCAATGAGCCAGGCACCAATGGCCATATTTATATATGGCCATATTTAGCTTAAGCAGGAAATACAGAGAACTCAAAAGAAAAAGGATTTAATGTTAAGGCTAACTGGTAATAGAAGAGTATGCATAGAATAGATTGTAGTACATAGGTGAGAGATGTAGAAAATGGGATGAAGTTGCAGCATGAAGAGTTTGGGAAATGTGATGACTGACTCTGCAGTGATGACTAACAGTAAGCTCTAGTATCAGGGACAGGCCATGCAAGACAGCCTGGGTTGAGCAGCCCCACAGAAATCCAAAATTGTCTCAGACCTTTTTGTTTTTCAGTTTGAATATGAATGCCGGACTCGAGGCGCAGACATCCTAGCCTACCCACCTGTGGTTGCTGGTGGTAATCGCTCAAACACTTTGCATTACGTGAAAAATAATCAACTCATCAAGGTATATAAAATGCCCTGCTTTGCTGCTTCCGAAAGGTCCAAATGCCCTAAGAGAAACCAGCTTCTACAAATGAACCACCATTTAAAAAACACTTCCGCCAGCTGATCATGCCTGTAATCCTAGCTACACAGGAGGATGAGATGTAAGGATCCCAGTTCAGTCAGCCCAGTCAGGCAGTAAAGTCCATGAGACTCTTTATCTCCAATTAACCACCAAAAAGCCAGAAGTGTAATTGTAGCTCATGTAGTAGAGTACTAGCCTTGGGCAAAAAAGCTCAGGGACAGTATCTAGTTGCTGAGTTCAAGTCCCAGGAACAGCACACACACACGCCAAAAAAAAAGCCAGGCACTGGTGGCTCATGCCTGTAATCCAACTTTTTTTTTTTTGGTCGGTTGTGGGGCCTGAACTCTGGGCCTGGGCGCTGTCCCTCAGCTCTTCAGCTCAAGACTAGCACTTTACCACTTGAGCCACAGCACTACTTCCGGCTTTTTTTTTCTGCTTATGTGGTGCTGAGGAATCTAACCCAGGGCCTCATGCATGCAAGGCAAGTGCTCTACCACTGAACCACCTTCCCAGCCCCAAATCTAACAGTCTTAACCACCAGAAAACTGGAAGTGCCGCTGTAGCTCAAGTAGGAGAGCGCTACCCAGCACCCAGAGTTCAAACCCCATGACCGACAAAAAAAAAAAAAAGTTTGGGGGTGTGGCTCAAGTGGTAGCAAATGCAAGGCTCTGAGTTCAAACTCTTCATAGTGTTTTTTTTTTTTAAATTAGAACTTTTGCAAACAAAATAATATTTTAGACTAGAAGAAACAATGTAGAATGGTGAGATCACCCACTTCCGCCTTTCATACTTTTCTCCAGGATGGTGAAATGGTGCTTCTGGATGGAGGTTGTGAGTCTTCCTGCTATGTAAGTGACATCACACGCACCTGGCCTGTCAATGGCAGGTAGGACTTGTACTACAGAGTAACACTTGTACTGCTCCTTCTGGGTTGGTGTTAGAATATGGATATATACAGAATAAATTACTAAAAAAACCAACTGGGCTATTTATAGGTCATATTAACCCTCTCTGCAAAGATCCTGATTACATTCCAAACTGCTTATCATAAAACTGTTAGGTACCTAGAAACACTCACACATTTTTTTGGGGGGGAGGTGGGGGTCCGGTTGTAGGGCCTGAACTCGGGACCTGTGTGCTGTCCGTCAGCTCTTCAGCTCAAGGCTAGCGCTCTAACCACTTGAGCCACAGCACCACTTCCGGCTTTTTTCTTTTTGCTTATGTGGTGCTGAGGAATTGAACCCAGGGCCTCATGCATACAAGGCAAGCGTTCTACCACTGAGCCACCTTCCCAGCCCTCACACATTTTTTAAGTTAACTATGAAGTAATTTTTTCTCTTATGATTACAAAGGTAATATTTACAGAATGGTAGAATTTTTTGGTTAGGGCAGGTGCTGGTGGATTACACCTGTAATCCTGGTTTCTCAAGAGGCTGAGGATCTGAGGATCAAGGTTGCAAGCCAAACTGGGCAGGAAAATTTGTGAGACTCTCATTTCCACTAAACTACCAAAAAAAAAAAAAAACAGAAATGAATCTGTGGCTCAGGTGGTAAAGTGCTAGCCTTGAGCAAAAGAAGCTCAAGGAGCCGGGTGCCAGTGGCTGATGCCTATAATCCTAGCTACTCAGGAGGCTGAGATCATAGGATCATGGTTCAAAGACAACCCGGGCAGGAAAGTCCGTGAAACTCTTATCTCCAATAAAAACCACCAGAAAACTGGAAGTGGACACTGTAGCTCAAGTGGTAAAGCACTAGCCTTGAGCTGAAGAGCTGAGGGACAGCGCTCAGGCCCAGAGTTCAAGCCCCATTACTGACCAATAAGAAACCCAAAAAACTCAAGGACAGCGCCCCAGGGCCTGAGTTCAAACCCTGGTACCAGTACCAAAAAAAAAAAAAAACTCTGGTTGAATTAAGCCTGATAGATTTAAATACTGGAAGAATCAGAAAGATGGAGAGAAATCCTTGGAAGACAAGGAACCACTAAAGAATCTGAGTCCCAAAAACTATATAGTACAACTAGAAATCCTTTAGTGATTTCTAATTGGTTGGAGAGTCCTCAGGAGACTGAAAACAATACCAGCATCTGGAAGCTGAATAAACCTGAACAGAGATTTTTATTGCTTCCATTGAGAGCAGAGTACATAGTTTGAATCCAGGCAGGGAGGTACTGATAGCTCACATTTGTAATACTGGAAAAAAAAAAAAAAAGCCTAGAGACAGTATTGAAGCCCTAAATTCAAGCTCCAGTACCAGTACCAAAAAAAAAAAAAGAACACTTTTCACTCAGCTGTCATCCTAACTGCATAGAAGGCTGAAATCAGAACTGACATTCCAGGTAGAAAAATATGCTGAGCTCCATCTCCATGGAAAGAAGCTGAGTGTGATGATGTTCAACACTTGTCATCCCAGCTACTCTGGGAAGCAAACAATAGGGTTGCAATAGAGATTCCTGAAGCAAGTCAAACCCTATCTCAAACATCTTCCTATATAAATATAATCTATCTATATGTATATATGCAGGTATAGATTATAGATACATACTACCATGCCCAGCTTTTGTTTATATTGTTATAATATTTAATGGTTATATTTTTGGAGGACACTTAACCACCTGTCAAAAATTTTCAAATTATAAGCTAAGTACCAGCAGCTCACACCTATAATCATAACTACTCAGGAAGCTGAGATCTAAGAATCACAGTTCAAAGCCAGCCTAGGTAAGAAAGTCTGTGAGACTCATCTCTAATAAACTACTCAGAAAAAGCTGGAGGACTGGGAAGGTGGCTCATTGGTGGAATGTTTGCCTTGCATGCATGAGGTCCTCAGTTCGATTCCTCAGCACCACATAATCAGAAAATGCCAGAAGTGGCGCTGTGGCTCAAGTAATAGAGCATCAGCCTATAGCACAAAGAGGCTCAGGGATAGCACCTCGGCTCTGAGTTCAAGCCCCAGGACTAGTAGAAAAAAAAAATTTTTTTCAAATTATAAAAAGAACAGCAGGGCTGGGAATGTAGCTTAGTGGTAGAGGGTTTGCCTAGCATCCATGAAGCCCTGGGTTCGATTCCTCAGTACTACATAAACAGCCAGAAGTGAAGCAGAGTGGTAGAGGCTAACTTTGAGCACAGAGATGCACAGGGACAGATTCTAGGTCCTGAGTTCAAATCCCAGGACCAGCCAAAAAAAACATCATGGCCAGGCACTGGTGACTCTTAC